ATTAGCCAGTTGAAATGGCTTGCAGAGAGATGGCTACCTTAGTCTAGATTAGAAATGGCAGATAGAGGGCATTCTCTTAATGTTGAATTTTGACAACCCCGAAGTTAGCAGTAGCCAAGTGTTTACCCAAAATTGGTCATCGACAAACTGATTCAGTTGTTCAGGAATTCCTGATCACAAATCCCCAAGAATTTGCCTGCCTTTTTGACCAGAAGATTTACCACAACCCCAGATCCCTCTGGGATTATCTCTACTTCGTCTCCCAAATAGGTCAGGCAGAGCCAGTGCTAACCCAGACTGCCGGGGGTTGGGGGAAGCCCCCGCCACCCTGGTCAGTCTAAATCAGCTTTTATTTTCCTTTAGCTGAAAGGATGTTCCTTCATGAAGTCTTCCTTCCAGCTGAGTCCAGATCCTGGTAACCCTCCACCACACCGAGCCTCCACAACCCAACCACATGGCGCTTGCTTTACCCTATCTCTTGCCAGTGCTCTGGGTGGTGGAGCTCTGGAACACACCACTCTGCTGTCCTCACAGCCTCACACACCGTAGGGGTGACTTTTACATGGCTCTCTTTGAGGCTAATGACTGGAAGAAAGAACAAATAGTTAAATACATTCTCCCTTCAGCCTTTCTTTGTAACTTGAGGGTTTTGCTGTTTGTATTCTTTTTATTTATTTATTTTTCTTAACCGTTTCAAATGGGGCTTCACATCCTAGCAGGCCAGGTGAGGATGACTGTTGCAGTTTTCAACGCTGGGGTTGGGGGGGGGCGCTCTGGGAGCAGATTGGGGTGGGGTTAGAAACGGGGGTTGGGGGTTAACAGCTGAGGAAGAGGGAGTAGCAAGCTGAAGCCCTGACTCTCAGGTTGATGAGGAGTAAGTGCCCCGCCTGGGTGCCGCCTGTAGTGGGCAGGCTGGCTGCGCAATCAGCCACCAAAGGACACTTGGTGAGTCTTGGGCAGAGGTCGCCGAAGGTGGCCTGGCCCTCCCTGAGCCTCTGGGTGATTGGGTGACAGGCAGAGACAGCCCCGAGGCCGTGCCTGCTTCTCTCCTTGAAGAGAGACTCCCCTGGAAGAGCCATGGAGGCAGACACAGGCCCAGGGCATGTGCAAAGGATCGCTATCACAGAGACATTCTGACAGGCACCTCTGCTGAGAGAACATTTTCTGTGTGTTGGAAAAAACCACCACCCAACCTCCGCGCCCCCACCAGCTGGCACGGTCCCCATGATTTTTGGCTGCCGCAGCAAAGCACTGACTGAGTCCTGCCAGGAGAAACAGTTTTGAATTCAAATATAAAGCTAATCAGAATATGGATCACACAAAGCTGCCAGTTATTTGATGGGTGTTGGGAGTAAAACACACCCACCGGCTCAGGGATCGCCCAGGGGCATTATCTCTGATCAGCAATTCTCAGAAACCATGTCAAATCTTTTTCAAAAGGCAAGTATTCCCACCTGCTCTCCCATCCCATTCAAGGCAGCCTTTAAGTCCAAGGCCTTGGGCATATAGAGGCCATACAGAGGTTCTGGAGGGCGGCTTCCAAGGCTTCAGAGCCTCAAGCCTCAGGGGATTACAGAGCCGCTAGAGGGAGGCAGCTCTGTGCGTTCCGTGTTCCTGGATCACGGTGTTTTCTTTCACCAGCAGGGGATTGTCCGGTGGGCTGAAGAGCAGAGCAACGGTGGGAAACTGAGGCACAAGAAAACAGACTCTGGACTTGCTGGAGGCCAAAGCTCCCTTCTCTACCCCCTCCCCCTGACCTTCAAGCCCTCTGGAGCTGGCAAGTAGGACGGGGTGATAACAGCTGAGCCTGAAGCCAGCCACTTTCTGCCCCGGGCCTCTGAGCGAGCTCCTTACAGTTTCTGCACCTGGGAAAGGCTATTACCTGCTTTAGCACGGTGGCGTTCTATACAGAACGTGCCCGGTTCTGCACCTTACCTCGGAAACCTTGAATGCTCCTCAGCTGCCTAGGGGGTCATCGACACCAAATTACCGAGCGTGGAATTTAAGGAAGAAATTACCTGTTATATCTTACATTCCTAGTTACGCTTCTTCAGATGGACTGAACTTGTTTTCAGAATGACAGAAATAGAGGACAACGGTGCCCATGTGATGGGTTCATGACCTCTAACGTGCAACCCATGCTGGCCTGAGAGGTGCTGGGTGTGCTGGGGAGCGTCAAGGACGGCTGTGAATGCGGACCTGGTGTTGCATAGCGATACCTGGGTGTGAATACCTGCGGCGAGCCCGACGGGTCCTAGTTGCGGGAAACAAATAAGACGAAATGTCCTTATAACCTGCAGCCCACTGACAAATACCCTGAGGTAGGCGGAGTGTAACATTCCTCAGGAAACTCCCAGCCATCTCGACGTTGATGCCTTGCTAGAGGGAAAAGCAACCTTAGCTTGACAACAGCAAGGCCTCTGGTAGCCTGTGAGCCTTTGTTTTGTTAATTTTACTTAATTTAAATTCAATTAGCCAACATAAGTACATCATTAGGTTTTATTGGAATTTCCCTAATCTTTACCCACCCCCAACCCCAAAGTATATAATCAGTTGCTCCTCACAGTCCCGGGGCCGTGGCTCTTTCTGCCCGTGGGTCCTGTCTCCGTGCTTTAATAAAAGCACCTTTTTTGCACCAAAGACGGCTTGGCCGTCAGCTCCGAAGCTCACCACCATTGCAAAACTCCAACCCTAGGACATGGCAGATGTGACTGCATTCATGACTCTGAATGAGGAGACGGGGATACAGAGAGGCTGAGTGCCTGGCTTAAGATCATACAGGCTGCCAGTCAAAGAGCCGGAATTGGAGCCCAGGCACTGTGGCTGGGAAAGCCTAGCTGTTGACTGTCACCCCCACTGACCGCTGGTAAGATTAGATACAAGTAGATGGCATTAGATTTTCCCCGAAACAAAATGTATTAAGATTACGTTCTGGGAAGCTGTTTTCCTACTTTTCAGAATTGCGTATGACGCCTGCTTGAGTCGGACAAAATCTTCAAAGTAGGGCTGTGTGAAGTTCCGTTTACCTGTTGCAAAGTCCTAGGCCCGATTCTCTCAACATTGATGTGTGGGGAGAAGCCGGCGGGCCACACCGATGACTGCAAGAGGTGCTATAAGGTAGATGACAGGGAGAACGGGTGTGTCACTTGGAGGCACTGGTGGGCTGGCCAACAGTGAACCACCAGCCGGGATGGGGCGTGGTGGTGGAGCGGGAGGGCAGGGGGAGTCCTGGTAGGTAGCCTTGGCCAACTGCCTGTTCCCACGGTGTAAATACTCCCATCTTGGTCGACCTCAAGCTACTATCCTGCCAGTACTGAGTGAGGAGGGGGAAGAGGTGCAAACAAGCAGCTCTCCCAGCCTGCATCAGCTCACCACGACTCAGAGAAGACCCAGGTCTGTATCAGAAACCACAGCTCCAGGGGGATGGCTGGGCCAGTTACCAGGTGACATATGCCGTTAAGAACAGAGGGGGCATGCAGAGAGCGGGAAGGAACTGCAGACAAGCCCAGGACTGTGCTTCCTTGGCAGTATCCTTCCTTTAGAAGACGTCATGTGCCTGGGTCCTTCAAGCCACAGTTCATTGCTGCTTCCTTTGCTGTCTGAGGTTAAATTCCAAGCCCCTCATTGTCATGTTTCAGTGGGGTCTTCACCAACCCTTCTTCTGTATCTAGGACAGGTCCTGCGACGGACTGAATGTTTGTGCCCCCACAAAATTCAGATGTTGAAGCCCTCCTGTGATGGTATTTGGAAGTGAGGCCTTTGGGAGGTAATTAGGTCACGAGGTAGGGAGCCTCCATGACGGGATTAATGTTCTCTTGAGACAGGAAGAGAGCTAGCCCTCTGCCTCGTGTCTGCCCTGTGAGGATATGGTGAGATGGGTCCTCACCAGACATAGGTTTGATCCTGGAATCCTCAGCCTTCCTGAGCTGAATCACCCCCTTGCTGTTGAAGCCACCCGGTCTGGGGGTTTGGGGTCCAGCAGCCCACGCGAAGACAAATCCCCTCTCACCTGTGCTTGAAGAGGGCTCCTCCTTCTTGATAAAACTGCTTTACCTAAATTCTCAAAAGACAGGAGTAGTTTAATCTTACGCTGTTTCCTTTCCTCTTCAGCTACTCTCAGCAATTTTTTTTTTTTTAGATTTATTTTTTTGAGAGAGAGAATGAGAGAGAGAGAGAGAACATGAGAGCGGGGAGGGTCAGAGGGAGAAGCAGACTCCTCGCTGAGCAGGGAGCCCGATGCGGGACTCGATCCCAGGACTCCAGGATCATGACCTGAGCCGAAGGCAGTCGCTTAACCAGCTGAGCCACCCAGGCGCCCTGCCCTCAGCAATTCTTAACCAACTGCTGAAACTCCAGTCTTCGTCACAGCCTCAGGCACCCGGGATATGCTGGTTGGCCCACAGAGCATAGCCGGACCCCACGGTCTGCAGGACAACTAGACCTGCTGAACTGCATGCTCACAGCACCTGCCCCCTGCCTCATTGGAAGGGCGTCCTCCGACCCGGAGTGTGCGGCCAGTCCCCCAAGCCGTCAGAACTGCTGCAGGGGAGGCCACGCATGCTCCGAGTCTCTGGTATCACCACTGCATGTGGAAATATGAAACCCAGTTAGAAAGGGACCTTAGAAATCATTTCTCAATTTTTTCTAACTGAAAAGGAGAAGTGAAATGTATTAACAGCCAGGTTTTTCCTTGTGGTTCTCTCCGTCTAGACCAGTGGTCCTCAACAGGACAGTGGTTTTGTACCCTCCCTCCAGGGGACATTGGGCAATGACTGGAGACATTTTTGTTGTCAACCCAGGTGAGAGACGCTCCTGGGATCCAGTGGGTGAAGGCCAGAGGTGCTGCTAAATATCTTAAAATGGACAGGACAGCGCCACCCCCCCACACACACAACAAAGACTGATCTAGCCCAAAATGTCTGTAGCAGAAACCCCAGTCTCTACACATAAAAAATGTTTTCCTAAAACTAAAGACATGGCATTCTTACTCCAAGAAGAAATCATATCCACAAATCATATTTTATTAGCTGTCCAATGCCACTTTCCATTCATGTCCTGTGTTTTAATTAAATTTTATGAACTACCAGTACAAATCAATACAATGCATTTTTTTTTTTACACACCAACAGCTTGAATGTTCTTGAGGCTTTTAAACAATGAGTTGACTGTGGGCAAACAGAAGGCAAGGAATCACAAATAATTAGCTCATGCATCTGGTGCTGGCTAATAAATAAATAATTTTCACATGAATGTAGAACCACTCAATGTTAACTGTATTTTTTTTAAATAGTTGGAAACTGTAATAAAATGTGATTTTCAGAAGCATTTTGGCGACTAAGTAGAACTGTTTCATTTAAAAAAATAGTTACTTTCCCCTAGATGGGGGTGGGTGAACGTGTAGCAAAATCCTCCATCCCACTTGACTCTGGCAGATGGAGTGATCTTTCACAAAATACATTTTTCTGCATTTCTTTTCATAAAAGCCAGCAGCCAGGAAGAGCACCCTGCTTTGAAAAAAGATAGTTTGGTTCACACAGTATACTTTGGTTTATTTAAACAGCTAAGAAAGTGGTCCCCAGTTCTCCTGAGGAGAAAATGTGTTTTCTGACTTTTGAATAAATCAAGGTATTACCAGTCTGAATGAATTTCCTTTTCTGTTAAGGTAAAAAGCATATCTTTCTTTCCCTCCAGTGTTCAGTTGCTCCTCTTGGGAAATACTCTTGGATAAAGTATCTCTATGTCTCAATGATCAGTGGCCCCACACCATGCCTTCCACATGACCAAAGGTCTGACATTCAGTGTCTGATGGGATCAGCATTTGGTGTGTCCTTGGATATGGGGCTCGATCTGAACAAAAAGTTCTCATAATACACCTACAAGTATCTTCTTAAAAGATATAAAAAATGTATGCTAACTTGTGCTCTCTTAGTAAGGCTTGCAAATTGGTAATTAAATAAGCAGAATATAACTCATAAGCAAAAAAAAGTGCATTTTTAAATAAAATTAAGAAATGGGGATGGTTAAAACTATAATAAAAAAGATGAGCAGATTATTTTTGGTTAATCTTGGATGGAAATGACACAATAGTTTTTTTTTTTTCGAGTCCATTTGGTTTTGCTTAAATATACTCGCAAGGATCGCTGTGAGTGTATCTCCGAATCTCACGAGCACTTCCGGGCACTAGAGCCCTACCATGTAATCATTCCTAGGGGGAGACATGGGCTTGCCTCTCATCCCAAAGAACTTTGATAAAACTGGTCTTAATTCGTGACTATTTCAATAAGCACAAAAGGTAACAGCTCACTTTGCTGTAAACACAATCAAAACCTCCACGCCATCGGGCTTATAACCTCACAATCATTCTGCCTTTGTCAGACACCGCTCGGGATGCATTTGGGCTACTTTTGCAGGCAAAGTGGGAGATTTTAATTCCTGTTGCGTCCAGCCAAATAGGCAGAGAGAAATCAGAGGCTCTCCCCGCTCCTCTCTTTTACTAATCAGTTGAATTCTTCTTTTGCCCTTTAGGGAAATCTTTTCCTTGTCACAGCCACGTGTTCAGTAATCACAAAAGGGAAAAAATAAAAGGTCTCCCCAGATCTAGCCCCGGGAGTTCATGTTTTTTTGCTGCTTGTCTTCTGTTTCTGTTTGCGAAGGTGAGCCTCTATCTCGGGCCTGAAGACCAGCATCCCCAGCTGCCCGTGGGACGCCTCATTCATGGCCTTCGACTGCATGCACATCTTGTACTGCTCGGGGGTCAGTTCGTCCACGCAGTGCTTCTCATGCCAGAGGTGGAAGAGCCCCCGCACAGGCGTCCGCACCACGATGAGGTTGCTGTGCAGATACTTGCGATAGAGGTGCACGTCCTCTCCGCCCCAGCCTCTGATGTCCAAATCGAAGCCACCTGTCGGGAGAGAACACAGCGCTGAACCAAGCCGTGCAGCCCCCTCCCGGTCTAGACCGGCTTTCCTCACCTGCACCAGCACAGCACTTCGCACGCAGAGAGGCAGCATCCAGGGGAGACGCTTTACTGCCCCTCCGAACGAGGAGCATGTCCATCCGGGAAAGAGAATTCAGAAATCCTGAACAGAGAACTCCGCGGCAGGGGCAGCTGGCACCAACTCCTGGAGATCCCAAGACCGCAAGGAGCATTCCTTCCCAGCGCCCACCTGCCTTCATGAGCTAGCGGCGAGGTGAAGGAGCAGCCTGAGCCCCCAGGATGAAAACTCTTGCATCTGTTCCAACGTGGCCTCCTGTCATTCAGGCCAAGGGAAGCAGCGGCTTGCTGCCTGACAGAGCAACGGGATCCCAGAGTGAACAAAATTACGTCCCACAGAACACTCTGCCTTTCATGGACTGAAATGGTCCCGAAGGTTGTGTGGCCGCCCCAGGCCGGTGACGTGACACATGTTTAAGGGACTGGTCTCACCATGCTTCACGGTGGACTCCTCCAAAGTGACTAACGGGCCCCTCAAGGCTCACCTTTGTAAACTGAGATGCCCCATGTCTTTTCTTAACCTAAAGCCCACTGTGAGCCGAACAGAACCAGAGAAGACTGGCCCCTTTTTGTCATTGTTCCTTTCTCACCTAGGAGCTTTATTTAACTCCTACAAGAAATAGTGAAGTCATCCTCAGCACCTTCCACCAGAGCCCCCACGGAGCCCCCACGCTGCACTGCTCTGATCAAGGCCGTCACTGGGCCCGGAAGCGGGGCTCACGCACAGGGAAAACTGCAGCCTGCCCACGGCTGGGCTCTGTATGCAAGTGATGTTCCCACCCCCCCACTCCATGGTGGGCAGGTGTACGATATCGAGTCAGGGGTCTGGAATTTGCGTCTTGGTTCGGCCACGTCACCTCTCTTGAGTTGTGGTTCCTTTATCCTGAAGTGAACTAGATGTCATAACCAAATGAGATAGTCATGTAAGGGGCAGCACTTGCTTAGCTGTAACTGATTTATTATCATCGGTATCATTACAACTTAGTAAATAGACGGAGCAAAAGTAAGATGCCTACAAATAATTACCAGATGGCAAAGAATGACCGGGGTCCAGATGTGACCCAGAGATTCTGAGGTCATGTCAATGGCTCACGGAGGAAGAGCATCCTCACCAGCCTACCATCCCCCCATGTTTCAACTGCAGCCATGCCCCATCGTTAGGAAAATCCAATTATAAATTCAAATTTGATAAACATACACCATCATGAAATAATCTTTCCCTGTACATAGAGCAAGGAAACACAGAGTTTCTCGAAATGGAAACCTGCTTTAGAAAGAAAGATGGGGGAGGGGATGCAAATCTCCATGCTCTTTGAGGGCGGAGCTTCCCTGAGCCCAAGCCAGGGTCTACTCTGAGCCCCTGAGCCCAAGATCAAAGTTTCTGGCTTGTTCATTCAGATCCTAGTCAAGTAGAATCCATAATTTTGTTTGTTTTGAGGCACATGAGTAGGTACCACTATGGGAAGAGGGGTGGTATTTCCAAGGGGGACAGGAAATGCTCTGTTCTCCTCCAACATCCCTCACTTGCTATGTGGTCCCTTTGCCCTTGGTCTCTTCAACTGCAACCTAAAAGGCCTTTCCTCTCAGTGCTCTGGGAACCCGTGTGTGTGTGTGTGGGGGGGTGGGTGTGTGAGTGTTGACAGTGACTATACACTCAGTCGGAGCTTGAAGTAGTATCTGGAATTTTCACAGGTTCAGCAGAGAGAAATCTGAATCTTTTCCATATGTGATTTTCCAAAAATCCCCATGTTGTCCTTATTTTTCTCCAGTGGATCCCGCTACTGTGGAGGCCCAGAATGTTCTGCAGGAGAGGGACCAGAGCCAGAACTAGGTCAGAAGGAGGCATGGGGTGGGGGTGGAGGGGTGGAGACTTGCTTCGAAGCTGCCTTTCTGCAACAACTGCCTTTTCCCTCAGATTGTGTGCCACATCTGGGGTGACCGAGAGGGTCTGGTGGAGATTAGAGGGGCTTGTGTGTCGCCCACTCCCAAGCCTCGTCCTGGTCCAGCCTCCAGGTCCCTGACAAGAGGAACGGCCTCTTCTTAGGAAATGGCACCACCTTTGCCGTCAGACTCCTGGGACCCTGCCCGGCCCCCTCCTGGGCTGCTCACGGCCTCTGGGCGGCAGCAGAGGTGCAGGCTTGGGGCCAGTCCCTCCGACTTACCTATATTGATGAAGTCCGAGCGGTACTGACAGGTCATCCCAAATCCAAAGTCTCTCCAAAATCCAGTCTCCTTCTTTATGACCTGCAGGGAAAGCACTGTCGTTTGAGTGGACAGAAGTAGAGCGTATTCCCACACTCATGTAAGCACTGCTACATGGGGGGCCCGGCCCCCCACTGATAAAGAGCCAGCACAACCGTGTGGGAAACGCAGCTGGATTTGAGTCCTCTCCACCGGGTAGGAATACTCTGAACTCACCAGTTCCAAAATGGGCCTTGTGAGTTTTGGCATGTCTGGTTGGAATGTTTCTAGGGTGTAGGCATGAAAACACACACACACACACACACACACACACACACACACACACACACACACTCAAAAACAAACCAGGAGAGCAAGTTTTTGAGCAGCGCCATGGAAAAGCCACCTACGTGTCTGGCCCGACACCAGCGCCAGAGAGAATCAGAGGCCTCGGCCCCTCACACAGGGCCAGGCGGCGAGCCAGCAAAGGGCTCAGGAAGTGGAGAAAAGGGAGAGAGAACAACTCGGAATTCAGCTGCTCTGGCACAGGGCACACACAGGACTCCCTCAGGGAATAAAAAGAAAACCCGAGAAGGCAGTGTGTTACTTCGGCTCTGCTAACTCTCACTCGCCGAGGTAAAGGGCACCAAGAGTCCAGGTTCTGAAGAAAGTCTCTGTCCATTCACCTTTAAGCTATTTTAAAACCAAACTGCGCCCAAAAGCATCTGTGGTGGTGCCAGGCTACAGGGCTGCCGAGAGGCCGTCCAAGCAGCAACTGTCTTCCAAAAGCAGACCTGGTCCTGCTCAGTCTCTCACTCTGCAAGTAATTTTCCAATGCATTTGCTAAAGCAGCAAGACTTTTTAAAACATTTGTTTAATTTTTTGGCTGAGGTAATTCTGGGGCTTGTTTTGAGACCTTAATAGTTCTTTCTCATTCTTGAGGTTAACAGAGGTGCTCAGTGGAGAAAGTCACCTCTCGGGGAAGGGAAAGGGAGGCCGAAGCAGGTCCCCCTCCACTGGGATTTCTGCATTTTCTGCCTGCCAAGTCTGGCTCCCTTTGCTGCTCATCAGAGACTGTGTGCAGCAGGGGGGATGCACCAGGGTCTCCTCCCAACCTGACCATTGGCTGGCTTTTCTGCCTCAGGCAGGTCCTTCACTCTTCTTTGAGCCTCTACTTCCTTTCCTATAAGTGAGGAGGTTGAGGGGCGCCTGGGTGGCTCAGTCGGTTAAGCATCCGACTCCTGATTTCACCTGAGGTCATGATCTCGGGGTCCTGGGATTAAGCCCTGCATGGGGCTTCGCACTGGGCATTGAGTCTGCTTAAGACTCTCTCTCTCCCTTTGCCCTTCCCCCCCAAATAAAAAAAAAATAAGGGGCACCTGGGTGCCTCTGTCGGTTAAGCATCTACCTCTGGCTCGGGTCATGATCCCGGGGTCCTGGGATTGAACCCCACATTGGGCTCCCTGCTCGGCGGGGAGCCTGCTTCTCCCTCTGCCCTTCCCCCCGCTCCTGCTCTCTCTCGTTATTTCTCTCTCAAATAAATAAAATCTTTTAAAAAGAAATAAAATAAAATAAAATAGAGGAGGTTGAGCTAAATCTCCGCTAAGGTCTCTTTCTAGCTCTACCATCCAAACATCTATCCTCACTGCTCTCCCACCTCCCCGAAGTTCCAAGTTATCTCCATCACAGCCTCGGTTATATTCCATATATGGCTCATGGAAGGACTGTGAACTTAAAAACTCTTTTGCTCTGTAATCCACGAAACCATCTTATCTTCACTACAACCTCCTCACAGACATGGCCTGCACTGACGCGTGCGTCAGGGCTGCTGAGGGAGCGTGAGGACCGAGAGAGGTTTTGTCAGTTAGCTTCTTCGGAACAAAAGCCTGTTACACACTATCTCCCAAGTGACAAGGCAATTTCATTAGTATCAGCTGGAAAGATTTTGCAGGGAAGGAAAGTTTGGGAAAATCTCTACTGAGTCATTTTTTAAAAAGAACAGTTTGTTTCATACCAGGTACACGGTTTCTGTTGCAGCTCCTAGCTTAGTATCTTTCTGCTGGCCAGGACACAAACAGACAAGGCCTCTAAGCTTCTGGATAAAAATGGAGTCAAAGAGAAGGGCCAGTAACCAAATGTCAAGCATTTGGCTGAGGTCTATATGGAATCTAAACAAGAATGCTCCAAACAGGAAGCACAATGGGCCAGCGCTTGGGAGGAAAGACAAGAAGGATTTGCAAGAGGTGGTGACCCCAGACCTGGGCTGTGGATGCAGTGCCCGGCAAGACTGAACAAGGTAGAGTGACCCTCACCTGGGGACAGTGGGACAGATACAAACTGATTTATGAGCTGGGGAATGCATTCTTTTTTTTTTTTTTTAAGATTTCATTTATTTATTTGACAGAGATAGAGAGAGAGCACATGTAGGCAGAGAGGCAGGCAGAGGGAGAGGGAGAAGCAGGCTCTCCTCTGAGCAGGGAGCCCGATGCAGGACTCGATCCCAGGACCCTGGGATCATGACCTGGGCCGAAGGCAGACACTTAACCAACTGAGCCACCCAGGCGCCCTGGGGAACGCATTCTATAAACACTTATTAATGTCGGCTTTTAAGTTGGCAAGCCAGAAAAAGCCACTATCTGAAATGCTCCTTGAGACTGAGCCCTTGGTGGAAGCAGGTTTGATCATACCCTACCCATGGCATAGAACGTCAGGGCAAGAGGGGGTTCACTTCTGACAGGCTCTATCACCCTCAGCTGGGCTGAGTCACTGGCACCATGCCCGCGACCGGCAGCCTCGTTGGAAGTGAGCGCTCTAGAGCACACATCAGATCACAGCACGTTCCAATTTAAAACCCTGCAGGGGCTTTAATTGCAATTCTCGCTAAGGCAATTAGAATAAAACCCAGAGAAAACCTCTAGCCTGCAAAGGTCCTATGTGACCCGACCCCTGCCTGCCTCATCCATCTCCTCCCCTCATGCAGAATCTCCTTCTATTCTGCCCCAAGAACACACCGGGCTCACAGGTCTCTAAGGCTGGACACTTGCAGATCCCTGACCTGGGTCACCTTTTCCCTGCTCACCACTGGGCTCTGCTCCAATGTCACTTCCCTAAAGCAGTCATACTGACCCTCCCAGCTAGTGTCAGCACACACCTCCACCCCCGTCACCACCATGTCACTCTCTAACCTGTCACCTGGTTTATTTTCTCTATAACACTTAACAGCTCTCTGAAATTATCCTGTTGATGCATTTGTTCCTCTCTTTTCTGTCTTTACCTACCACCACTGGTGAACATAAGCCCAGGGCCTTGGGCTCATTCACAGCCCCCAGATCACTGTCCAGCACACAGCAGGTGCTCAATAAATGCTTCTCCAATGAGAGAATGAGGAGCACTCCTAGGGCAGAGAGGGCTCCATGTCAGTGGAAACAGACATGGTTCAAGCAGGGAACTCTTGAGCGGCTCAGCGAAGGCCTAGGAATTCCAGTGAGAAAACTAAGCATCGTGTGGCTTTGGACGCACAGACAAAAACGTTTTCACCTTTCTGGGCTCTGAGCAGAGGGCTCTCCTGCTTAGAGCCTCGGCTCCAGGCATGAGAAGCTCCACTGCTCTGTTCAAGCTTCGAAAAGATACACACCAATGATGTTTACTACAACAGAGGAGGAAGAAACCCTCAGATAAAGATTGTATGTTCAAAGAAAAACATCTTCTGTCCTGAATTTCGCCGATCTGTTTTTAAGTGCTATCCTCACTTTTAAAAATGTCTCTCGAGGGCTGGCCTCCTCTCAACTCTTGGCAGCCCGCTCTCTCCCCACCTTAGATCGCGGCAGAGCCCTGCAGGGCATGAACACACCACAAAGGACAGCTGTCAAGCCCGCTCTCCCACAGGAAGTTTCCAGACTCGCAGCTCTGCGGGCGATTCATGTGACGGGGGTGATTCTTTTCTATCGGGACCAGAGCACAAAGCACAAACCAGCGTCTCTCCCCAGAGATGTGGGAAGGCGGCGCCCTGCAGCTGCACGGGGAGCTGGGAGGCAGTCAGCGCCTGTTGGTTTAATGGTGCGGACTTGGACAAGCGCCCGCAAAGCAATCTGGGCCCTGAAATAAAATAAATAACAAATACTCAGGGAGAGTATTTCCTCTAAATCAAAGAGAGCCTCCCAAGCACCAAGGTTGTGTTTGTCCAGGCTCACATTCATGAGAAACGCCGGTGGTACATACCCCGTGTGGCCCACAGGCCCCACACACTCAGACGGAGCCCTGCCTGCTTTAATGCTCTTGAAATTCTTAATAATTCCTGAGCCAGCGCCCTGTCCTTTCATCGTGCACTGGGCCACGCCAATTACGGAGCCAGTCCTGCCTGTGAGCGGCAGACACCCTAAGCTTCAAGGGCTTTGGTGGCTGGGTTGGGTGCCCCCTGCCCCCACATGGTACATTCCTTATCATCGGGGCCTGGAGGGAGGCTGCATGGGGTATGCATGTGCCTTATAGTGTGGAGGTAGAATGACTTGGCCAAGCTAACTCAGCCAGTTGTGGCTGAGCCCAGACCAACACCAGGATTGCTGGGACCATTTCCATTTCTTGAGAAATACAAGCTTTCACAGAATTGGTCTAAGAATGGACTCAAAAGCCACCTCCTGCAAGCTTTGTACTAACCCACATTTTCCCCCAAGTCTTCTTTTATTGGTATCTGCTTAAAAAGAATAAAGTGTCTTTTGAAGCACTCTGAGGCCAAAGAACCTGTCGTTGCCACTCAGCATCCTCAGCCCCGACCCCATCACACAGGGCAGGCCCCGAGTTCCCAACCCTCTCACTCACTCAGCAATCTGGGCGGTGACTTATGCCTGTGAGCTTCAAGTTTTCATCTGTGAAACGAGCATAATAATGCCTCTCCACCTTACTGGCTATTCCACGAAAGAAAGCGGGCACCATGCTGGCTTCCGATAGGCTGTGGATGGCATCTGTTAATACTACTCTTGGTACTCAGTGAGTGCCTTCTTCCCAAAAATACAGAAGCAGACTAAAAGGATGGGCTGTGCCCAGTCAGCAAGCTTTAGACATTTAAACTGAAATGCAGATTAGCGGTAAAATACTTCTTGGAAGGGGGGAGACAGGCAGGGTATAGAATCACAGAGGGTGAGGACGGGAGTCAGTACACCATTTACACACTGGACAGAGTAGCACAGAGTCACTGGATTTAAATGATGGGTGGGATGCAGGGCAGACTGAGGTGTCAGGCAGCAAGGGCATCTCCCGGTGAGGAGAGGGCCCGGAGGGGAAGGTCAGCACACGGAGAGGCGGGGCAGGTATGCTCGCTTGGCAGAGCGGCAGAGTGGGGTATCTGTCGAGTGGGGACCACACGCCAGGTGCTGGCGTTTGCAGCCATTTCCTCGGTCACCAGTGTCAGAGTCAGCGTGGGGAACAGTTAACCCCAACAAGGCATCAAGGCTGCGGGGCTGTGATGGAGCCCGCCCCACCCAGCTCACCAGGATTGTGCATCCAGTGACGTCACTCTGGGGCCTCCCCAGGCCACGGTGAGGGTACTGACAGCATGGAAAATGGCAAACAATGAATCAGGGCTTTTTCTTCCCCTCCTTTCTCAGAGAGTGGGCTGTTACACATTTACTAGCACACCACTGGCTTTAGGCCAGAAAAGATGATTTAAAGTGGGATTAATCTGTGTTTTGGAAAGAAGGTGAAGGAAAGACTGGATGATAGGGGGAGGGAAAGGGTCTATAGACGGAGGAGGCAGGAGTGGCCCCAGTATGAACAAGGCTTGAACTAGGAAAGTGGAATATCTAAAGTTAATAATTATTTAAATCAGAGTCATTCCTTTCTCTCTGAGCTGTTTCTACATTAAAGCATCAGCAAGGTTTATCTCAGGTTTACAACTCAAGAAACTGAATGTTAGCATAAAATCCCATGATTTCACATACTTCTAATCATTAATGGTCTGTACTCAAAAGTAAAGAAACGAGTAGTCTGAATGCACGCACACATACAAACACACACATACACCAGGAATGTGGCTTCTGGCTTTAGTCTGAAGACAAAGTGTTATCAAACAGCAGTGGCCACAGCCTGAGAAGCAATGACCCGCCCCGGGACTAATGAGGTCACATTCGTAGGGCTGCTGGAACACTTGTCTTGTGAGTACTTTTGTCATAGCTCCCTTCTGGACGTGTGTTCTCCCTCTACCTTGAGCCAGGGGTGGCTCTCAAGAATATCTATAGATCTCAGATCTTTCAGGACCGAGCCAAAATGAACCCTTGCTAGGAAGTTTCTCCTAACTTACCATCCCTAACCATCTCTTCTTATTTTATACCTTCTCAGCACCTACACATTCTGTCTCCATTAAATTAATTTCTGTAGCCTGATGTTCTCCTTTGGAATTTTTGTCAGATCATTTCCTTTATATTTCAGCCCTCATCTAGATCCTAAGCCAATCTGCTTCCACTGCACTAGGGTAAGGAAATCCTGCTTTGGGCCTGAGTTCTGCTACTAGCTGGTTGTATGATCCTGGGCAAGTCTACAAAAACAAGAGAGTAAAGTGACCTCCTCCCCAATCACTCCCGAGCATATGAAACTCTTTCAGTTCCTCTGACTCCTCTAGAATGTCCAGTCCAGTTCTCTGCAGGCAGCAAGGGCTCCAGAAATGGCGCATCCAATAACAAACATAATCAACATTTTCCTTTTGTGGATGGAGAACCTCCTGTGTCTCAGAGACAGCTGCTGTGTTTCTCTGGACTGACTCGTCATGAATACTGAACCCTAACAGCAAACTGACATGCTCTAGAAAAGCTCTAAGGTATATTTGGAAGTAAATGTCCCCAGTTACAGGAGAATTCTGAGGCTCTAGCTACGCACACAGCGATCTGAGTTCTGCTTCTGCTTGACCATTAATCCTGGGGATCTGAGAAACTGGCTTAGGGAAACTTGTAGTTTCCCTTTGCACCTGCTTCTTTGCAGGAATGGTAATAAAAGGATAAAACTTTTAAAGTGTGGAATGAAAAGAATTCCTTGCAAGTAAATAAGATCTTTATGAGTTTGAAGTTGAAACATTAATCACATTTGATGTCAAATGTAAAGAAGTACTTTATTTAAAACCAAAGGAATTTATATTCTGATTGGTTGAAAGAAAATAAATCCTGTATCCCATTTGCCCCTCAAACCCTAGTGGAAGCTTAGAACTCATGGAAAGGAAACAAGAAGGTTTGTGTCTCAACAGAAGCGGTATCACCCTAAAGTAGATAAAAACTGATTCTTGGGGAATGAAAAACTCTTACCGTATTGACATATACAGCACACATACACATAGTTACATAAACAGATATTCAGTGTATCTGTGGTGTCGGAATTTCACTGGGGGAAGAGAGAACTATATTTTTACCATATCGTGCAGCATGGGCCCAAAGGGAAACCATGCTGGGAAGGGTGAGGAGTAAACCTCATCCAACCTCACAGAACCCAAGCTGAAACCTTCTGGAAAAGATCACTGTATCAGCTGCCAGAGGTTTACTGGAGGGATGGGGCCAGAGAGAACAGGTTTTGCTACTTCTGGAAGCTTAAAGACAGAATCAGTCCTCCGAATGAATTTCAAAGAACACATGTTTTCAATGAAAATCAATTTACTCTCCCATTGCACAGAAGCATGAGAGAGAGACTTGGTTCCTTCCCATCTTCATGTTCACACAGCACATTTCCCTTCTCCACCCTAAGACGTACTCAGTGGGAAGAGACACAGCGTTGCCTCGAGACAGAGACCCTCAAGGCAATGAAGAACAGACAGCCCCAGGTCAGCTGTCTCCTGATGGTTAGCCTGAGCTGGAACACAGCTTTAGACACACCCAGCTGATCTCTTTGCAGGAAAAGGTCAGAGTCCAAGTTGGGGGTGACAACAATAAAGGGGAATTTCATCTCCGAAGGGCAAGCCTACACGCGTTACAGAGACCCTCTCCTGGCTTTACCTCATCCTCCTGTTGCCTGCACTGCTTCTCTGTTAAATGGGCTCATTGCCGCCACCGCCACTACTACCTCCACCACCACCACCAAAACCATTCAGCATACGGAGATCCTTGGTGTCTGTGTGGTTCCACTCTCCATGACCTGTGAACCCACGATCTTAGCAGAGGAGCCCCTCCAACGTTCCTTTAAGAGCCACCTTGCTGGTGACCATGTCCCAGAGGGGCTGTGATATGTGGGAATGGCGGCATGATGGGACGGGCACTGGATCTGGTCCCCCACTGACTCACTCACCGTGTGACCTGGGGTGAGCCACCCCTTTCTGGCTTCTGTTTGCCATCTGTCACCTTTCTTACCTGGGAGCTTTGTAATAACAAAGAGAAAATGTGCTGCATCCATAATGCAATAATCCTAGTTTCCAAAAACCATATAAGAAAACTATGAAGGTGTGAAATTACCTTTCTGTAAGGTACTGTTCTATTTATTTTCCACTTTTAAATATTGCAAGCACTTTTAATGGACAAGGCGCTGGGAGCAAGGGCCAGAACGTCTGCCAAACTTAAAAATTACTATGGGAATCAATCCAGAGATTTCCACTCACCTTTACTCATGGTCAGGCACCCCTGGTAATGAAAGACATGAAACAGAGCCACGCGAAGGCACCTGCGGGGTGATTACTCACCAGCTGCTGTTCTAAGGGAGGCACTGCCTCGTGATGGCCGTATATTATGCCAGGATTGTACTGACTGAAAAGGACCGGATAAAATACCTTCTTCCCTGCAAACCAGGAAACAAACATTCACTTAAAGCAACAGACAAAACTATTAGGCTCGTTCACTTATATTCAGCCCTCGGAAATAGCCCAGGTATTTGCATCCACTTTTCCTTTTCTTATCACTCAGCCCTAAAACAGATCTTGGAAGTTCTGCACACCCAGACCACATGGACAGACTCTCTAATATCTCTGACCTCCTAGCACAGAAGTGGTATTCAAAATACAGTCGGTGGGTGGCTCTGGCGGGCGTAAGAGAGAGTTCTGGTGCCCACCCCCCACCCCCTTGTGGGAGTCCAAAGGATGGCCAGAGGGGCCAGGGTGACTTCAGGCAGCAGGAGTGGATTTAGGGACCCCAGGGTACTTGCTCTTTACCAGCTTACATGGAAGAGCTTCTGTATTTTAACAGTAGTTATCAGCTGAATATCAACCTGGGTTCGAGTCAAACTCTATGAAAATCACTTTCCTGTTGTGGGTTCTTTCTGCTCCGAGCCCTTTCTCCCTTAGTACGCGCCCACAGCCACTCCTTTCCCTTTAGTTTCAGACAGCTTTCCAGCCCCTGCCCTCCCACCACACTTTCTCCCATGGATGTTCACTAGGGCTGACATCCCAGCTGAAAATGGGAAAGGGGTTACAGACTGGAACTTAGGATGAAAAGTCCCAGAATTATGGTGGCTGACAGGCCCACACTGACATCAAAGGAGAAATCAAACCAGATGATTTTCCTTTTTTTTTTTTTTTGTCATGGCAGTAAAATCGGGCCAGTACAGAAGCAGGACATCAGAGGGAAACTGTGAAGGAATGAGTGCGAGTGTGACAGAGCCGAACACCACCGTGGGGGAGAGAAAGGGAAGAGCCGACTCCTGAGACCCTTACCTGGCTGTGTGTTCAGCCTACATGTATTGAGGAATTCGGCGGTGAAGTAGATATCGACATCACAGAAAAAGAGAAGGACGTTGCTTCCTTTCCAGAAGCGGGCTCCAACATCAAGTCCCTTTCCCCGAGAAAACTCTCCATTCAGTGGGATGAAGGTAAAGTTCCTGAAGCTGGCAGCTCTAAAAGGGAAGGCTGGATACAGTCATTCATGTGCTCATGCACCCAGGCGGACAGAATCCCTTGGAAAACACAAGACCAGGGCCCATAGTTTTTGTAACCACGAGGGCACTGAGACTACCAAGAAGATACGGAATGACCCAGACTCACTGGAAACTCACTGATATTAAAGGTACCAAGAACACTCAGTGAAGTTTTAACACCAACTTACTTCAACTTACTTCTTTCTCTAGCAATTTCCCCACAGTGAAAACTGCACTGTTATAGCTAATGGATATTCTCTGTGAGAGAGAAACTTGAACCAGTGGAGACTAGGGGAACAGAACCCAGGACGATCTCCGTGCCTTCCAAGCCACCTGAATGAAACCACTGGACCAAAGAAATGAAATCACACTGGAACGGCCCCACCTAGTGTCTTCTCATCTGTATGCGACTGGAGACCAGGCACGATGGTCTTGATGTATGTCTAGCCCCAAACAGATTTAAACCTGGACTCATTCCCCACCTTCAGGTAAAGCAAGGGAGCACGGTAGGAAAACGAGACTTGGACTCAGATCACGAAGGCTATGCCACACCTGGCTCTCCTATAGATTAACTCTGTGATCTAGGCCAGCCCATTACTCTCCCAGAAGCTCAGTTGCCTCATCTGCAAAATGGGAATAAAAACACCTTCCTTAACTACCTCACAGAGTTATTAGTTAGATCAACGCTGCCAAGAGCATAAAGCAGTCTGTAAGCATCAGCTCTCACTGTCCTCAGCCCAGGCAAGGATGCCGAGGCCTGTGATGGTTAAGCCAAGCAACACCTTTCTTCATTTGCTCTTCTTTCCCAGGGACAGCAGAAACTTCTGAAATGGGGCATGTCTTGAGCAGAAGTTCCAGGAATTCATGTTGTACCTAGAGGGACAGGGATTGTCTTCGGCCAGACAGAACTAGAGAACAACTCTGAGTCCTATTTCAGCTCCTAACCCCGCCTATGCGGCGGGGGGGGGGGGGTTGCTTGGCAAATCCCCCTTTTCCCACTCACGCCACCCATCTTATCGTAATGGTTCCTCTCCTCCCACAGCCTGGGCTCTCCCCTCACCCACTCCCCATTCCTAAGGCCTTTCTCATCTTGATGTATTCAAAACAAGTATAAAAGCCCACTTCCATTTCAAAGTCTCTATTCTGCGTAACTCTCTTGGGGGAAGGTCAACACAAAAACAGAGTCAGAAGCTTTTCAAATGCGAAGTTGTGCTTGTACCGGGTCATGTAACCAGCTGAGCAGAACTGGTTCTGCTCCCCATTCCCTGACATAACATCTTCTTTCAAATCTGGGCCTGAGGGGCGCCTGGGTGGCTCAGTTGGTTAAGCAGCTGCCTTCGGCTCAGGTCGTGATCCCAGGGTCCTGGGATCGAGCCCCACATCGGGCTCCCTGCTCAGCAGGGGAGCCTGCTTCTCCCTCTCCCACTCCCCCTGCTTGTGTTCCCTCTCTCGCCGTGTCTCTCTCTGTCAAATAAATAAATAAAATCTTTAAAAAAAAAAAAAAAATCTGGGCCTGAGCTGGGTTTTTTATCCTGGGAATCTGTGGGCCCAACCTCGTCTGAGTCCAGTGCCAGCCAGACATGCTTTTCAGATTTCGATTGAGGCATGGAAGCCTGGTGCCTAGAAGAACCCTGGTGTCTGCATCAGCAAACCTGGATCCGGGGCCGAGAGCCACACCCGCCCCCACTAGGTGCTCAACAGATGTGTGTGGAAAAGCGTGTCAGCAGACGAATGGCTTTCATCCCAGCGCCGTCTCTCATCTATTTAGGGAAACTCATTTTGCTTCTCTTGTCTCTGGTTCCTCATTGCAAATCTGGTGGAGCCCAGTGGGCCCTTTCCATCCTCAAATTCTGTTTTTCTGGGATTCTGCATCCAGTTCAGCACGGTTCTGCGTGTGCCGGGGTCCTCCTCTGCTTGCACTCTCCGGGGAGGTGGCCGCAGGTCATATGTTCTGTGAACAGCACTGAAGTCATGTTCCAGAGCCTCCTCAGCGCTTGGCCTGGCCCCTGGTGAGGACAGGGCTACCTCCCTGACTCACAGATGCACGTGCAGGTGGAGAGTGGCCCCTGCAGTCATGTTCACATCTCCTGGAGGCTTCCACGGCCCTGCCCTGGCAGGTCAAACTCACCCCACTTCTCCCTGACCTGTTTGCACAGTTTTCAGGAAGGTTTCACCCTTGAGAGGCACCTGGATTTTCCCCTCTTCATCTAAGGGAGCCGACTGCCAGGTCTCACAGGACTTAGCCACATCCTGGGGCTCATCTTTTTCTAACAGCCGGTATTGGGTCTCTTTCTTGATTCGTCTCAAGGCCCATACCCTTGGGACCCTCCCAGAACGCAGGGATATCGGTTAGCTAGTCGGCAGAGCAGGAAGGCCTTCCTTCTTCAGGCTGTATCTGACTCGTAATTCAGGTGCCTCCTCCAAGAGGTTTTCCAGGATCTACCGTTAGAGATCTACCAACAACAAGCAACCTTCACCAAAGGAAGAGGGATGCAGTTCCTGGATATGCTGTGTTAAAGGAACTGCCCAGTTCTCCTCCTGGAACAGCCTACGGTCCTTTGTCTATATATATATCAAATGTTTACAGAAGTTAAGTCATGTTGAATACTTAAGAACACAAAGCGGCCTTAGAAACTGAGGAATCAGGCATTAAAGCTATGACAAGACTGTATGTGGTTGACCCCTGAGACAGCTGACTACTGCAAACTTAGAGGGCAGAGTGGTAATGTGATGGACACCCTTACCCAAGATGTGAGTTAATCTAGTTTGTTCTATCCCTAAATCCCCCAAACCCTGGCCTGAACTGCTCTGCTGCAGCAAAGGGGACGGGAGAGAGGAAGATGGGGGTCTGAGCTTGTCTGTCACTCAGGACCACCAGGAACAGGGCTGAGGAGAACACCGTGCCTAGTGCTTGAGAAGACCTTAATTTGGAAGAACTTTTTAAGCAAGTCTTAAAACATCCATTTCTAGGCTTCAATGTGTTTCCTCTAGAGAAAGAGAATTCAGGAAAATGGATGCCAAGGGACCCTGCATTTGGCCCTAATATAAAAGGCAATCTGCTTCCTTTCTCCTCAGTCAAGCTCTCTACAAGGATGAGACGGTCCACGTTCTATCTGTGGCGCTACCCAGTCTGAATGTGCACTTCCAAGCCACTCTCAGTGCGCCCACAGGCCATGCACAAAGCTGCAGGGTGTAGCACTCAGCTGTCCCATCTGCACCGCAGTCCCGCTGCCCAATGGGGGCCCACACGCACGTGGCGCCAGTAGCCTCTGCTTCCCCATCCCCCCAATCCCTGCAAAGAACCCTGCCGCACCCAGCTCATCCACCATGACCAGTGCTGGCCAGCAGGAGACACAGGAGACACGTGGTTCCTGCCGGCCTCCCAGCATACACATGTGACAGCTGATTCAGGGAGTTGGACGTGAGGGCACACAGAGGCAGGGCGGGGACAGGGTAGTGGCTGGCCCAGGAGGCACCATTAGCCAGTCATGGGTGTTGGAGAAGGCCCAGGGCTAACTCTGCCATCCGTCCGCAGTTCCCGGCGTGGCTGCCAGGTCACTGCGCTCAGCTGTGAGTCTATCTGCAGATGGGTAATAGTACTGTCCTCCCTCCCGATCACTCAACCCAAGCACGTTTTATAACTGACCGGTATCTGGAGGAGCCCCATGCTCTCCTCTCTGCTGCCAGGAAGGGCCTCAGATAATTAACAAGGATTTTCTACTAAGAAAGGGGGCTGAGCTGGAAACACCAGAAAAAGAATCAGAACAACGTTACTTTCTCTCTTTTCCAGAGCAGAGAGATTAATACACTGTCAAACATCTGGGCCGGCAGTGGATACCTTCCTCTCATCTCAAACTCATCAGCATCAGCTCTGGAGCATAGCCCACAACAGAATGACGAGAAACTAGCTTCTGCTGGATCGCCCGGCCCCTCCCTCAACACGTCCCCTGTCTTCACTCAGAAATGCTGCTCACTGCGTGGGCAGGGGGACTCGCTCACTAGGCCGGAGCAGCCCTGCTCCACCGTGTATGAAACAGAGGACGAAGGGGCGGTGAGGCCATGCAAAAGCAAGGACACATTTCAACACAAAACCCTGATTCGCCCCAAGGGGGTCTGGGAATGCACCCAACACAGCCACGAGGCTGTAACCCAAAAATGCAGGCCACAGAGGTACACAGGCTAAGACCCTGTTTTGTCCTCTGCCCATGGCCCCCCATCCCACAGTGACCGTCCAGAAGATGATCATGGCTGGTGTGCCATGTGCCTCCTGCCTCTGCACCAGGGTCCCTCCTGGAATGTACTTTCTCCTTCCAATCCAGGCTTCACAGCCCTAGTTAAGTGCCACCACCTCTTTTTTTTTTTTTTTTAAGATTTTATTTATTTATTTGAGAGAGAGAATGAGAGATAGAGAGCACGAGAGGGAGGAGGGTCAGAGGGAGAAGCAGACACCCCGCTGAGCAGGGAGCCCGATGCGGGACTCGATCCCGGGACTCCAGGACCATGACCTGAGCCGAAGGCAGTCGCTTAACCAACTGAGCCACCCAGGCGCCAAGTGCCACCACCTCTTAGGTCTTGCTACAAACTGAAGTGGCGTCTTTGGGCTCCCAAGCACTTTGCCCAGTCCTCCCTCCGCCCTCCCGTGCCCGGTGCATTCTTGTGCCTTTGCCTGTACAGACATACTGGATGACCTAGCAAGCTGTAAATCTTGGTGGAGGGATTGCCACCCCCCTTTCTTAATCTGCAGAGATGATGTGGCACTTTGCAGTGCGTGGCACACGCAGGGATACAGTGGATGATCAATAAGCATCAGATGAATCGAGGGGTAAATCCACAGGAAAAGCTGAGGTGTATCTCAGACCTTCACTGTTGGGGGGCACTGCCCAGAATTCCTCCTTCTTCCCTCAGGTGGGTACTGGGGAACCCCCCATACATCATCAGCAAGAGTCTCCAACCAACAGACTCCTAAGGACAGACATAAA